ATATAAATCAAGACCCAATTTCTACTTTAAATGAGCCCTATTCTCAGACCACTCCCACAACTTGTGCTATTTCCTGAATCCTCTCCTGACACTTCCCTCCTTTCATTAGAGACCAAAAATGTGGCTAAACCTGGTGTCCTTGCTAGTAATCCTTGCTGGTGTCCTTACTAGTAATTATTTCCACTATATAGTTTATTTCTGCTCCTCTATGCAGGAGATCTCATTAAAAAAAACAATCCTTTTCTTTTTAGGAGTCCACTCTCAAGTCCAGAGGGGAGGAGTCTGGAGGGGATGTGAGGAGACCTGGGGAGCCCCTCCGTCTCTCCTGCCATGCCTCTGGATTCACCTTCAGCAGCTACAGAATGAACTGGGTGAGACAGGCTCCAGGACAAGGACTGGAATGGGTGGCATACATGAACACCCGTTCAAGCACTTACTACTCAGACAAAGTGAAGGGCCGCTTCACCATCTCCAGGGACAATGCCAAAAGCCAGCTGTATCTGCAAATGAACAGCCTCAAACCAGAAGACACGGCAGTCTATTACTGTGCAAGATACTCAGTGAGAGGAAGAGAATCTCAGGCCAAACAAGAACTTTCCTTTCTTCAGAGAAGCTCTTAAGCTTGACTAAGCCTCAGATCCTTGATTAGCCAATTAAGACTGATCCCCATCGAGTGAGAACCTTAGGATTCTTTTGCATGTACATATCCTGTTAGAGAGTTTGCTGTAAGAAAATGTAAGAAGATGAAAATGCTTGAAAATTCCAGTTTCATCTTCCCTGTTTACAAAGTGATCGATCTTCAGGGGGGGAAAAATTAGAATGGAATATTGTCTTTTAGTATCATGGCAGAAGCCTGGAAATTAAACTTCAGGACAAACCTTCTAAACATCTAAACTGCCATTCACCTATTGAGGAAACATCTGTACCAAAAGAATCTCCTTGAAGAATATGGAGCATGCTTCCTTCATGTTTTTGACTCTGGGGGACAATGTTGTTGCATGAAATCCCATTGTTGATGCTCCTGATGGGGATGGGGAAGGGAATTAAAACAACTGTCAATGGAGGCTGGATAGTTTTTTTTTTTTTTTTTTTTTGGTAACAATTCATTGCAAAGTTTTCAAGAAAATATGACATAGCAAGGAGAGTTCAATATGAAACTGAAAAATGTTATAAAAAGATGGATTTTGGGTTTTTGTCACCAGAGAAACTTACATAGGTATTTCATATCTTTCTGGGAAACGAAAACAATTTGAAAGAATCATATTGTCTTATTGAGTGAACATATAAAATAGCTAAAATTTTATGGATACAAATATATACAACAATCCAGAAGATTTTAAAGTTTCTCTCGATGGAATTCAAAAGAACATAGCATCTCAAGAGAGTATAATTCTTACTGGGAAGCCATGCCTGGGTTTATATACCAGACAATCTACAGCAAACACAGTATTTTAGATAATACAAAGTTAATTATCTATCATTCTGTTTGAATTGAGAGACTATATTTGCTCACATTATGACTTAAGTTTCTGAACTGAGTGGACCCACCTAGTCTAGCATTTAAAGTGTTCCTTGAAGTTTAACTGCTATTTAAAGTGTTTGGGATATTCCATAAAATAAAGGTTAAGGAAGCAATTTCATAGCAAACATTCTAACCTTTTTAAATAATTTGTAACTGGTAGATTTAGTCTCTAAAAGCTTGAATCATTTTGAGAAGGGCAGAAATGTTTCAGGCTTTTATTTTTGTTAATATACAACAAACCAATTCATTTTCCTATTAACTCATAAGGTGGAAAAAAGGGTCCAAACTTTTTTCATAGGACTGAAATCTTAACTGCAAGTTATGTCCATTGAAATATATTAGTCAATGGCCCAGTTGCTCTTTTATCCCAACAAATATGTAAATCCAGACACTATTTCCCCTTTAAAGGATCCCCGTGGTTTCCCTCTTCAGACAACACCCACCAACATAAACCCTGTGTTATTTTGTGAAACCTCTCCTGTCAATTTCATCTATTCACTAGAGGAGCAAAAATGTGGTTAAACCTTGTGTCCTTACTAGTAGTCCTCAAAGGTAATTATTTCCCTTAGGTAAAGTTTATTTCTATGTCCTGCTCTTGTATGCAGGAGATCTCATTAAAACAAATTACTTTCTTTTTAGGAGTCCAGTCTCAAGTCCAGTTGGTGGAGTCTGGAGGGGATGTGAGAAGACCTGGAGAGTCCCTCCGCCTCTCCTGCCAAGCCTCTGGATTCACCTTCAGCAACTACTATATGTACTGGGTGAGACAGGCACCAGGGAAAGGACTGGAATGGCTGGCCTACATAAACTCTGCTTCCAGTGATATCAACTACTCAGACAAAGTGAAGGGCCACTTTACTGTCTCCAGGGACAATGCCAAAAGCCAGCTGTATCTGCAAATGAACAACCTCAAAGCTGAAGACACGGCAGTCTATTACTGTGCAAGAGACACAGTGAGAGGAAGTGAATCTGAAGCCAGGCAAGAACCTTCTTTTCTTCAGAGCAACTCTTTAGCTTGACTGAGCCACAGATCCTGGATTAGTCCAATGAGGATTGATTTTTGTTATTTCCATTGTAATTCACTGAGTCGTAACAAAATTTGGCATCTCAAGAGGGTAGAAGGCTCATAGGGAAGCTGAGAATTGGTATAAAATAATTTACTATTGGTATTTGTGAGCAGAGAATGTGTCAAGGTATTTCAATCCTTTCCTGGGAATGAAAGCAAAAGGAAAGGATTTTACTATCATATTCAGTGAACATGTAAAACAGATAAAACATTATAAATACAAATCCTGCCTCAGATCTTTGATGAGCCAATTAAGATTGATCACCTTCTAGATACCCAATTGGAAAGTTTGCTGTAAAAATATGTAAGATGATGGAAATGGCTTGAAAATTTAAATTTCATCTTCCCTGTTTACAAGGTAATCATTCTTCAGGAAAAAAAAAACATGGAATGGAATATTCTCCTTTAGTATTGTTGAAAGAAATATCTACCTGGTTCGGTTCCAAGTGGGGAGAAAGACACTGGAAACATGGAGGCTGATTGGAAAGATGGTTTATTGATGAACCCACATAGGTTTGATGTCCTGGGCAGCTGACCACCTGGAGTGGAGTGTGAGGGTTATTTATACCCTATCTTGAGCTTTATACCCTTTTATACCCTTGAGCTTCCTGTTCCTGTGGCATGAGCATGTATTCTTTTGATTACTGTCAGATTCCCATGGACTGTGCATGGGTCTGAGGTTGTCTGAGCTCCCAGGTTTGGTTGAAGCTTGGAGAATGACGATGTAATGAAGAGGCTTGTATTCTGAAAGGTGTTGGGCAATTCGTATTGTGTCTTAATGGCTTTGTCCTGCTTTAGATCTTGAGTGAGGACTAATCCCATCACCCTGAGGCTGAAGGTCTTTTGTCTTATAGATGAGCTGGCCCAATCTTTCTGGGGCTATTAAGAAAGTGTGGGGGGGTTGCTTTTCAAGAGCATGTTTTCTCTTTAGGGAAATATGATATTCTGCCTTTTTAATATTTCTCAAAATATTTCATTCTTCTAGGAAAGGGGTGGATGCTAACTTTCTACAGTATTTTGGTAGAAGCCTAGAAATGAAACTTCAGGGTAAAATTTCTAAACATTTAAACTGCCATTCACCTATTGAGGAAACATCTGGACCCAAAGAATCTCCTTGGAGAATATTCCTCATTTTTGACACTGGGGGGCAATGCTGTTACATGAAATCTCATTGTCGATGGACATGATAGGAGAGGGGAAGGGAATTAAAACAACAGTCATTAGATATTTTGGAGGCTGGATACTTTTTATTTTATTTTTGTAAGAACTCAATGAAATGTTATCAAGAATATAGACCACAGCTGGAGACTTCAATATAAAACTTACCAAGGTATTTCAAATCTTTCATGGAAATGGAAATAACATGAAAGGACCATGTTGTCTTATTTAGTGACCATATAAAACAGCTAATATTTTACAGATACAAATATATACAACAATCCAGATTTTAAAGGTTCTTTAAATGGAATTCAAAAGAACTTAGCATCTCAAGAGAGTATAATCCTTACTAGAAGTCATTATCTGTTTACACCAGATAACCTACAGCAAACAATTTTTTTGATAATACAAAGATAATTGTTTATCATTTTGTTTCAGTTGAGAGGCTGTATTTGATCACACTATGATTTAAGTTTCTGAGTTGAGTGGATTCAATTAGTCTAGTATCCAAAGTGTTCCTTAAAGGTCAGCTGACATTTAATATATTTGGGATGTTCCATAAAATAAGGAAAGGTTCAGAAAGCAATCTGGTAGCAAACATTCTAACTCTGATATTGTAGCCTTTTAATATGATCTGTCAGTTTGAGAAGCTCTGTAATTTTTCAGGCCTTTCTTTCGTTAATGTACGACAAATTGGTTTTTTCTCCAATTAACTCATAAGGGGAAAAATCAGTCTGAATGCTTTTCTTAGGAGTAGAATGTTAATTGAACAATGCACATGCAAGTTATGTTCACTATGTCTATGACACCATGTCTTACGTTTCTGAGTAGAGTGGATCAATTAGTCTAACATTCAAAGTGTTCCTTAAAGCTCAGTTGCCATTTAATGTGTTTGGGCTGTTCCATAAAATAAACAAAGGTTAAGGAAGCAATTTTGTAGCAAACATTCTAACTCTGATGTTCGAGCCAATCTGTAATAAGTAAGTCTATTCTCTAATATCTGAAATCATTTAAAGAATCAGCTGAAATTTTCCAGGCTTTACTTTCAGTTCATGTACACTGGCCCTTTTTCCTATTAACTCAGAGGGGAAAAATAGATCTGAACCCTTTTCTGAGGATTGGAATGCTAATTGCAAAATGCATATGAAAATTATGTTCAATTAAATATATTAGCCAATGCCCTGAGGCTCTTTTATCCCAACAGATATGTAAATCGAGGAACAATTTCCCCTTTAAAGAGTCCCATGGTTTCCCTCTTCAGACAACACCCACCAACATAAACTTTGTGCTATTTCCTGAAACCTCTCCTGTCAATTTCATCTATTCATTAGAGGAGCAAAAATGTGGTTGAACCTTGTGTCCTTACTAGTAGTCCTCAAAGGTAATTATTTCCCTTAGGTAAGTTTATTTTCATGTTCTGTTTTTGTATGCAAGAGATCTGATTTTTTTAAAATCATTTTAGGAGTCCAGTCTCAAGTCCAGTTGGTGGAGTCTGGAGGGGATGTGAGAAGACCTGGAGAGTCCCTCCGTCTCTCCTGCCAAGCCTCTGGATTCACCTTCAGCAGCTATGGCATGCACTGGGTGAGACAGGCACCAGGGAAAGGACTGGAATGGCTGGCCTACATAAACTCTGCTTCCAGTGATATCAACTACTCAGACAAAATCAAGGGCCGCTTCACCATCTCCAGGGACAATGCCAAAAGCCAGCTGTATCTGCAAATGAACAGCCTCAAAGCTGAAGACACGGCAGTCTATTACTGTGCAAGAAGCACAGTGAGAGGAAGTGAATCTGAAGCCAGGCAAGAACCTTCTTTTCTTAAGAGCAACTCTTTAACTTGACTGAGCCACAGATCCTGGTTTAGTCCAATGAGAATTGATTTTTGCTATTTCCAGGGGTGGCGTTCTACCAGTTCGGACCTATTCGCTAGAACTGGTTGTTGACATTCTAAGCAGTTCGGAGAACCGGTTGTTAGAAGAAATTACTGGCCTAATCCTGTAAGAAAGGCAGGAAGGAAACATTCTGGTGTTGTTTACAGAAACTGCCTCTCTGTTAACCCTTATTACATTCTTATTACATCTCCCCAAGGCAATTCCCTTATTACATTCCCCCAATGCAGTGTTTCAATTCTTTTCATACTCTACATAGATGACCTCTGTGATCATATCAAGAGCAACTACATTCTCTTCATTGATGATGTAAAGCTATTCAACACCACAGACAATACTGCTACCCTTCAAAAAGACCTTGACTATGTATCAGAATGGTCAAACAAATGGCAACTTCAAATCTCAACAAATAAATGCTCTGTTGTGAACGAAAGAAATTAATAAAGATTCATTTGCATAGCAGGATCGTAATCCTGCTCGTTCTATTGGCCTATAAAATGGCAAGTTGTGATTGGTCCAGTCCGAGCAATCTGACTGGCTGTTGGCGGGCCGCACCAACATTCAAACGCTGTAACTCTATCCATTGGGTATCCGGATAGCAGCTTACGCTATAAAAGAGTGACTGCTAGCCGGGTTTTTTTTGTCTCTGTTATGCTTGTGAATAAAGAGCTGAAGTTCACGGTTTACAGTCTGGTCTCCGTTCATTGAACCCATGCCTCAAACTTAACACTGGCAACAAAGGTGGGATACGGAGACAATAGAGCTGAATAAACCCTACAGAGCACCAACTGAAGCACGTGGCTGAGAGCGCATCTACATTGGCAGGATGTCAGGTGGCGCTATACCACCCGCTCCTTTTGACCCGGAAAAGGAAGACTGGGAGTCATATATGGATCGGTTCCAAAGGTTCCTAGAAACCAACAATTTGAAGGACGCAACAGCCGGAAAGAAGCGGGTGGTGTTCTTGACCCATTGTGGACCAGCCGTTTTTAGAATGGCAAAGGCGCTCGCGAAACCGGCTGAAGTGACAGCAATGGATTGGGACAACCTTGAGCCTATCCTACGGGCTCACTATGCCTCCGCCATACCAACATTGGTTCGGAGACACGAATTTTATCAACGGGATCAGCGCAAGGGTGAAAGTATTGCAGACTTCATCGCGGACCTAAGGAACCTGGGAGGCCTCTGTGGGTTTTCAGACCTAGAAGAAGCTATGCGACACCGCATAGTTCTGGGGTTAGACGACCACGCAGTCCAAAGCAAGATCATGGCAAAAGGGGACATCGATCTTGCAGATGCCATTGCTGATGGTACTGCAGCAGAGGCAGCCAACAAGTCGGCCGCTCGAATGCGCCGCACAAATGCACCACTCCGTCAATTCGCCCATGAAGCCTCGCCTCAACCAGAAAGACACTCAGCGACAGCACACCATGAGGACCTCGAGTCCCAATCCGAGAGTGATGAAGAAGAGGTCAATAGACTTCGGGCTGAACGAGATCAACAAACGCTAAAACTTCAGCACCCATGTGCGGGTTGCGGGGGAAACCACCCGCGATCCGGTTGCAAATTCCTCGATGCAATCTGCCGTTCCTGTGGGAAAAGAGGCCACATCGCTCGGGTCTGCAGAAGTAAGAGGGAATTCAACACAAATAGAAGGGAGAACAACCTCCACCAGACCACAGGAAACCTCCCTGCAAATCGGGATCGTTTGAATAACCAATGGAACAGCCATGCCTACAACAGTAAAACATCTACTCTTCCAGCACGGCGAGAAGAGATGCACCAGACTATTATTATCGGCCACGCTTCGTCATTAGACAAACAAAAGATCCGAGTGGTAGTGGCCATCGAGAACAAACCTTGCCTGATGGAAGTCGATTCCGGATCGTCCCTCTCGATGGTTTCCTGGAAGACCCTTAAACAGCTGATCCCTACCGTCCCTCGGCAAGACCTCAGGACACAGAAAATCATCCTCAGAGATTACCAGGGGAACTCGATCCCAGTCGCCGGAGTGAGTCAAGTCCGTGTTTCCTTTAAAGATCGTGCCGTGTCTCTCCCATTAACTGTCGTCGATGGGGACCGACCCAGCTTACTAGGCCTACAATGGTTCGCCCCACTCGGGATCGAGGTGGCCGGCATTCACCCAGCCGGAAGCAACGATTGGGAAGAGAACATCGTCCAGGAGTTCCACGACGTGTTTTCGGACAACTTAGGCAAGTACAAGGGGACCCCTATAGCATTCAGCCTCAATCCAGAAGTAGCCCCTATCCGCCTTAAGCCTCGTCGGGTTCCATTTGCCCTTAAACCCAAGAATGACGAACAACTTGATAAGTTAATAGCCCAAGGGGTATTGGAGCCTATTGACCACGCCCATTGGGAAACCCCAATCGTAACCCCCATCAAACCGGATGGGTCAATCAGAATTTGTGGAGACTACCGCGCCATTCTGAACCACGCACTTCAACAGAGCACTTATCCGGTGCCGGTAGTTCAACATCTTCTCCACTCCCTGGGTGGCGGGAAGATTTTCGCAAAGTTAGACTTAGTGCAAGCGTATCAACAACTACCCGTTGATGCAGAGACCGCAGAGGCACAAACTATCGTTACCCACCGTGGTGCCTTTAAATGCAACAGGCTCCAGTTCGGGGTGAGTGTAGCTCCCAGGATATTTCAGAGTCTAATGGAGAGACTTTTGCAAGGCATCAAAGGGGTTGTACCGTATTTTGATGACGTTTTAATTGCTGCTCCTAATAAAGAAGAGCTCGAACGGCGTCTCAAACTAGTTCTACAGAGATTCAAAGACGCCGGCCTCAAGGTGAAAAAAAATCAGTGTCAACTGTGTACTGAGCGGGTGGAGTTTCTTGGGTATTTCCTCGATAAACAAGGGATTCACCCAACTGAAAACAAACTCAGGGCAATCAAGAATGCCCCAAGACCTAGAAATAAGACTGATCTCCAGGCTTTCCTTGGACTTATTAACTTTTACAACATCTTCCTGTCCCAGAAGGCGACCGTAGCTGAGCCCCTACATAGACTTCTCGACAAGAAAGCCACCTGGGTCTGGGGACATCGAGAAGAACACTCTTTTCAAAAAGTGAAAGATTTATTAACATCCGATACTGTTCTAATACAGTACAATGAGACCTTGCCACTCAACATTACGTGTGACGCATCACCATTTGGGGTTGGAGCCATCTTGAGTCACGTGTTACCAAACGGGCATGAAGCTCCCATTGCGTACTTTTCGCGGACATTAGCGAAGGCTGAACGAAACTATAGCCAACTGGACAAAGAGGCTCTTGCTATTGTATCGGCCGTTAAGCGATTCCATGAATATGTTTACGGGCGGCCTTTTACTCTAGTTACAGACCACAAGCCTTTACTTGGCATTTTAGCAGGTGATAAACCAACCCCATACATATTATCGCCCAGAATGACTCGTTGGTCAGAATTCCTAGCAGCCTACAGCTACGTACTACAGCATCGCCCGGGGAAAGCCATTCCCCACGCTGACACTTTGAGCTGTTCCCCACTTCCGGAAACCGTCAGCGACCCAGCTCCAACCCTCACCATGTTGCAAATTGAAACCCTCAACTCGCCGCCACTAACGGCAAGAGATATCGCTGCCAGCACAAAACGAGACTCTATCCTCACAAAAGTTCTTAGTTGGGTCGAACGCAGGTGGCCAGTCGAAGAAACACCCACCATTTTCATGCCGTTCAAGCACCGGCAAACGGAACTATTCTCCCAGAAGGGCTGCATCCTATGGTCGAGATAGAGTCGTCGTGGCAGAGAAACTACAGCGACTCGTGCTGCAAACACTACACGAAGGACACCCGGGCATCATCCGTATGAAGGCCCTCGCTCGAAGCTATGCGTGGTGGCCAGGCATCGATAAACAAATTGAAGCCTGGGTTACCACGTGTAGAAACTGTCAAGAAGTTAGCAACGCCCCACCAAGAGCAATTCCCACCGAATGGGAAACTCCTTGAGGCCCGTGGTCCCGCATCCACATTGATTTTGCGGGACCCACGAAAGGACACACTTTTCTCCTAACCGTGGATGCCTACTCCAACTGGCTCGAAATCCACAAGATGAAAAGCACAACCACTGACTCGGTCATTAAAAAACTAGATAGATTATTTGCAACACATGGGTTTCCGGATGTTCTAGTTTCCGACAACGGACCCCAGTTTACGGCCCTCACCTTCGAACAATACTTAGCAGACCGGGGCATCCGCCACGCCCTAACTTCACCAGCTCAACCTGCGGCAAACAGTAGGGCTGAACGAATGGTCCAATTCCTTAAAAAGACACTCCAAAAAATGGATCCGGGAGACATCGACACGAGATTGAACAAAATACTCTTACTACAACACATTACCCCCCACAGTGTCACCAACAAGACCCCAGCCGAACTTTTAATGGGGCGGAAACTTCGCTCCCACCTCGACCGACTACACCCATCTTACTCGCCCGAGAAACCCTGTGGATCCAGTGGAACGTATCGCCAATTCAATGTAGGCGACCTGGTCTACGCAAAAAACCTTTCCGGCGAACCTCTGTGGGTCCCAGCCACCGTAGTCTACCTTACTGGCCCTAGATCCTACCGCCTTAAGACGACAGACGGCAAGATTTGGAAACGCCATATAGACCAACTCCGATCTCGTTTACAATCAAATATCAGCGGCCCCCTGGACTTCCAAACTGAGGGGGGAGGGAATACCGAAGGGGACGAAGACCACATAGACGACGACGTAATTGGGGACAGACAGCCACTAAACCGAATGCTCGCACCACCTGAAGAAGGCCCGGGATCGGGGGCATCCTCCCCACAGAGGAACACCATAGCGGAAACATGCTCGCCCGATCCAGGAAGAGACTTAAGGGACTCTGATAGTGTCACGGAATCAACCCCAGACGAAGATGAGCCTTGCGTTCCACCGGCACCG